CAAGGATGAAACACCTCTGCCTTTCCAGTTGATACATTGAAGATTCCTCCCTGTGAAGGGTGGATCAATTTGCTCCCGTTTTACCCTTCCTTGTTTTTTGATATTTGTATGGCACACACCACTGTTTCTCATTTGATTGGCTGATCTTTTGATTTTGACTCTGTATCCTTGTGCTAGTTACACTTAGAAAACTGCTCTAGGTTTTTTTGTTGTTTGTTTTTTTTTTTTTTTTTAAACCACTGTTGAAGATTTCATGGTTTACTTAAGTTGGGCTCTTATCTCACTTGTATTTTATTTCACTTTGAAGTATTTTGCAGTAGTGTCTTTATTACAGCTTTTTTAAGGAATTGCCTTTTTGCTTTTGCCTACTTCCCATGAGCTCCAAGTTCTCACCTCTCTCTGCTTCAGTTCTGTTGTGACTCTATTTGAAAATTAATGGGATTAATGATGATTTTACAAAGTGAAACTTGAGCCACTTTCTCTGGATGGGTTGGGAAACCAGTAAGAGTGAATGACCAGTTGTGTGGCATTTATTCTTAGCAAGATGGCTTCTTTACTTCATATGACTTTCCTGTTTCTTAACAAACTATTCATGCCATGTGAATGATAGGAGTCTACTAAGGCTCCTTCCGCTCTCTCAGTTCCCTCTTGTGATTGAAATTTCAGTTGAAAGGCAGTTTCCCTAAACCAGTATTCAGCTGTAGTGGTGCTAGTATGAAACATGAACATTGGGAAACAGCCTGACTACGACTCTATAGAAATATAAATCAAAATACGAAATAACCATCTGCTGGTTGGCTTGTTCTTTTTAAAAGTGACAATCAGCTTATTTTTATTTCTAAGTCAATAGCAGTACAACAAATGAAGTGCATAACCTTAAGACAGTATCTTTGAAATAATGTACAAATATTACAGAGATTCTCCACCACAGTATTTTATATTTTAGAAAGAAAGATATGATTCTAAGTGGATATTTTCTGCCAGACATCAGCAGATTTCCACAGTGAACTCTGAAACCCTTAAAAAGGAGGGGAAAAAAGGAAAGAAAAAATATAATGGAACAGCTAATAAGCCTTTTAAGATAGCGACATAAAAAATGCTGCCTATCACAATACTATGGCACAAAATACATATTTTTAAACCAGTTATCAATGAATAATGCTCTTATCACTCAGAATGGAGGCATGTATGAAACTCATACTTGAATATTCTCCAAAGGGATATGTCTAGACATTTGAAATATAGTTTGTTGGCCTCTCTCATCAGCTGAAGCCTAAGCATGATACATCTGTCAACAAACACGGCAGCAAACATTAGCCTGTGTACTTCATTGCTGTTTTTGCTATAATTCATTTAATGATGATCACATATATTTTAATAATCTCGGTGAATTAAATTTAACTTATTCATATTATGCGAAGGAACTGCAACAAATACGAGAAAAAATAGAGATGGCAGAGAAAAGTTTCCAGTCAGCAAATTTTGAAATTAATTTCTTGTGCCTTATTCATAATTAATACAAGTAATTTTAGAACAAAACATAAGACAAACTTATTATTAGTTGTTCACTTTGGCTCACTAGGGTTGTTTTTAAACATTTTACATTTTTTTTGGTTAATTAAAAATAGATGGGCTAAGAAAGAAGATAACCTAACCACTCACATTATTAGCAGTTTACTGAAGAAAAAAGAACCTGAATGAGTAAAGTCTCCTTCAGTTGGAAACCTAGGCCTTTATTTAAATATTACATTTAGTCAATGATAATAAAAGTGGAAAAGTAATTGGACAAAATAATTCAATAAATGGCATAGCTGGAAAGCAATGGGGTTTTTTTAAAAACGTCTTGCAGGTAAAGTACAGTTACAATGAGACATCCCGAAGTTGGTCTGTAGACTGGATATCAACACGTAAGAAACCCAGAACAGAAATCTCTCCATCTGAGAGTCAAGAATCTAGGGAGGAAATCATCATAAGCAGAAGAACAAACAGCATATGAATAAGGAAAAAACCCTCAGCATAAATCATATCAAAGGAGAAATGAATAGAGACAAGACGACTTTGTCATCCAAAAAGTTGGAAAAATTGGAGAAAGTTCTGAACAATGACAATCCCATGGGGAAAGGAGGGACAGGAGAGAAGGGAAGTGAGTTTAAGAGACATTAGCTTTCAGAAGCACCATTAGCTCTTACAAGTTAGTTATTGGCTCTTAAACAACAAAAGACACAAAAGGTGGACTGGGAAGTAATTTGTGGCTTTAGTTTTCAAAAAAAGCTGAGCCGCATCCACCTTTGCCGTATTGCTGTGAAGTCTAGCACCGGAGAAAATCAGATAACTGAGTTCAGTGTGAAAAACAAGCCTTCACTGCAACATGCAATATCACTCATTTCCTAAAAGAGCTTTCTTTAAATAGAAGAGAATTAAAGCTACAGGTGATTGTGTGTGTTGATTTTTAGTCAACCTATTTTGCTCCACTTTTGTCCCTTATTCTAAAGCTGAACTGTGCGCTACCAATATTTTCAGTCTCACCTCCTATTTGCCTTATTTGTTTTTTTCTCACTTGTGAAGCTCTTCTTCCTCTCCTACCAAGAATACATCCTGTTAATTTCCACAAAGCTACTGTGCTGTCTGCATTCAAGCCGCTCATATCAGAATCTATTTAAATATAACACCTACATAAAAATAGTTTACAATAAATAGTTCTTCCATCAGATAGGTGTCATTGTGCCCCAGGAGAAGCCAGTTAAAACATGATGATAACTTAACATGAAAATGTAGCAACTCTCATTTGAATTAATATAATCCAAGTTATACTTCTATATGACTGAAATAGTCTTTGCAGTTAGACCTATTATACCTATGTAATCCAGACAGCCACATGAATTTTATCTACATAAACTCTGATCTAAAGTACAGTTAAAGGAGAATCTGTAGAAAGAAACCTGGAAATGTTTAATGTAAGTCATGTACACTTATTCTGGATGCACATTTGGCTTATTCATTCTTTGCCCTGCCTGCCTCCTTCCCTCCTTCTCTGGCTCCCAGCCGCTGGAAGCAGTGAAATCACATCCAGAGAATGCTGGTACAATAATTACTCCTTGCCCCTTCTTTAAAGCAGCAGAGTAATGTGTGTACGCTGTTACTACCACATTCAAATCAAGGGAGTTCAGTAACTTCCTGTCAACCAGTTTGCCATTTCAAAGGTGTGCAATACAGCAAAAAATCCACTATCCCAGAACAAATAACATAAGAGTGAAAAAAAGGTGAAAGTTTTGCAAGGGCTACTTTGTCCTGAACTCAAGTACTTTGTTATGGGCTTGACCTAAATTGTGCAGCAAATGAAGAGAGGATTCTGGACATTCTCCAGCAGCTTCAGCTAAATTAAATATAAACATGAATAAGGCCCTGGGGCCCTGCATTCTCCAGGATGCCACAAGCATGGGGCTCACAGAGAATCCACCCTTGCTGCAGAACTGTGTTACAGATTTTAATTAATTGAGTTTCCTCTGTTAAGCTTTTCCTATGAAAGCCTCCTACAGTAAAAACACTCCTTAAAAATGCTATGCTGCAGCAATGAAAATAAATCTAGCTGATGAATTTTCAAAAACTTTTTTTGAAAGAACATAATATCAAGAACTACAATCACTCATTCCAGATACATAGTTCATGAACTCAAAATCATCACATCTAAGTACTGCATGTTCTCATCTTTCCTAACTGCCATATGCTGCTCAGCCATTTAATTTTATATGCACTCTCATGGCTCCAGGCTTCATGGGCAGATGGCAGTTTGCCACCTAATCAAATTCATACATCAAAGACATCCCAAGTAAGGTTCTTTGTAGAACTGTATCCTCCTTTAGTTTGTCTCATTTTCTTGAGCATTTGAACATCAGTACAAACTTGTACAATCAAAAGGTTCATAATTTTCAGATATAAGACACTCATTCTTCAATTAGGCAAACATAGTACATTCAGTTCTATCCCACTCTAAAAATACAGTTCAGTGCCTTAGAACTTCACAGCATAGCCACAGAGTCCTTAATAGCCCTTTTGGTTCTATTTTGTGTCTCTCCTTCTTCTGTAGCCACATCTGTTCTTTAAGCAGAACACATTTACATGCTCTGCCTCTACATACACAGTTAAAATAATGCATTTTTACTCTTGCAACCAAGTGACATGTTTTGCTACACTGCACTGAGCTTGCTGCAGTATCTAAATTTGGATGCCTTCTAATTCTCTTTGACTGCACATTGATAAAACTGAATTTTCATGGATTAGCTCATCTTGATGTAGGCTTGTGGCTGTTGCACTTGATGAACTTAAAACCTCAGAGTTGCTTTTGATTCTCTGAAGCATCCTATTCATCAGACAGAAAACTTCTCATATTAGTAACTGTGGTATTTCTTCAAGCCACTGTGACCTACATTGCCTCCCTGGGTTGGTTAAATGTTTCACACCCTTTTATCACATTCTACTGCCACAAGTTCTGTTACTCTCTGCCTGCTGTATTACTTATCACATCCATTAAATACATGCATAAACACACACCTTGTCTGTCTGAATGCACAACAGGGTCAGGGTTAGCCTGACAGTGATGGAGGGTTGCTTCTCAAACCTGTACAGTTCTTCAACTTAAGAAATATTGCTTTCTTTTACATGGAGAGTCTCAGCTTATTCCTTCTAGGATATGTTTTACAGATATCAGGATAGATATGAAAAACAAGGTCATGTATGTTAAAAATGACTAAACCCTCCATTTTACACCTTTTTCTCTAAAGAAGGAACAGTGTAGCAATTTTTAATGTTACCTTCAACCGCTACAGAAAAAAAACCCCTCACCCTGTTAAGACCCGTAAGATAAACAAAGCTGCTGAGTAAAGGACATCTAAAAATGGGTTTGTAATTTATACTAAAAAGAAGCAATATCCAATACCAGTTATTTTAAAATAGCACACTTGGAAGAATATTATTTGAAATATTTTTATAGAAGAGCAATGATGGAATAGTGACAGAATATATAATTGTATTGACACTGCAGATGCGAAATAGAATAGAAACGCTTATAGTAGCACTTCATAAATGCCATTTTAAAATATCACATTTTACATCCAGCTTTTCTAAGCAATTTAATATTTTTTGCCTCAGAAGACTACAGCTAGACAGCCTGCACAGCTCACCTTCCCATGCTACAGTAAGTCATCTCTGCAGATTAAAGGGCTATCCCAGAGAACACAGTGACCCAGAAGCCAAAGTGTTTACAATTTGTTCCAGACATCACATATTTAGCTACACACAGTTCTTTGTATTTACAGTCCCTTCTATTGCTCTGTTGAGAGTAGTAACCTGAATATGCCAAGAGCATAGTGGGAGCCTGTTACACATGGACTAAAATTACTCCTGTGTCTCATAGCTGCAACGGTTTTAACAAGTGCTGCAGAGGCACAGTGTGAGTAATACCATTTATGTTCAGTTAAGCTAATTGTCCTTATCTCACTTCCATAGCCCCTTCTTCCACAAGGACAGATAAAAGGCATCTCCTCGTGGCTTTTGAGACACTACTCTGTTAGCCATTTCAACAGACAAGAGGTTCTATGACCCAGAACATATTTTGACAATTTTCAAGCTGTTTGGAAAGCACGAAAGATAAAATTTAATAAGTGGATGTTTGCAGAAAGATCCAAGTTTTTGACATTATTAAAAAAAAAAGATCTGCTACTTATGAGAGCCAAACTATCTATACTCTAAAATTAGCAGTCAGCTTGCTAGCCTAAGGTAAGTCCCCAAAGTACTAAAAATAACCCCAAACCAACACACCTCCTGCACACGGCCCCCTCAGAAGACAATCCTGTGGTTTTTCTAACAGCAACAATAAGGTGTTCTACAAGGTGATTTTTATTCTTCTCTCTTTTGATAACAAGGCTACAGAGTCTCACCTCGTCTGGCCCAGAGCCATACAACCACCAAAGCTGTTTTCTCTTTCTGGAGTTGGTGCTTCATGATATCACACTGACAAAAGCACCACTCTGTTGCTGAAGCTTTGCAAAATAATTGCACCCTATTGGCCTGACCTAAATCAGGAGCCTAGTTAACATTCCCCCCTTGCTCCTCAGCACTGATGGGACTCAGATGGCAACCTGAAGCCATGCTGCTTAGAGTAGGTGATGGTGGACATGAATAGGAGCAAACCCCTCCACGTTCAAAGATCAGAAAGAGACTTCATTGACAAGTTCTGGCCTTCTTTTTCAGGATGAGAAAGCTGCATCAGGGGCTGCTGCCAGAAACAATTTTGGATTTAAGTAAGCAGAACAGGTACTCACACTATCTAACAGTGGTTATCTAATGCTAGTGCTCTGAATTCCTCACCTAGAAATGCTTTGTTACTTGCCAACAAAGAATAGAAATTTAAAATTATTCGGAAGATCAAGTGCAAAAATCTGACTCCTCCCAAGTCCCTCTAGATCATGGTTTAGGCATTAGGTGTATTCTCCTTTACTCTGACTCTAAGGCAAAAACTAGAAGCACCACTAAACAATAGAAGTTCAGAGTTAAGAAAATCGTTACAGCAAGATGATTTAAGGTAAGGAATTCTGGATGCCAATTATGCACAGAAGCAGGCTCATTTTTATTTTTCTCTTCCAATGTCACCTACCTCAACTGTTTATGCTTGGTACAAAAGAGCATGGAGGAATAACACTGGGTCAATTGTAATAGTCTGGACTGAGCTACTGCTTCATGCTGACAAGAACAAATCCTACGAGGAAAGCAGTGAGGCAGAAGCAGCAGACTAGGAAGATATATCAACATGCTTCAGCTACTGCAGCTCTTGAAAAAGTACTTTATTAGGTCAGAATAAGGGTCAGTTTTGGGTTTTATGCTTTCTGACAAGACACCAGTAGCAAATATGAAACAGTAAAGTGTGTTAAGAACAATACATTCCTAGACTGTTAATATCTTTGTATATTTTAACTGTTAGAGGTAGCCAGCAACTGAGGATACTTCTTAGTGGAGACTTTATTTAAACTAACATTTGAAAATCTGTTTCACATATAAGCCTAATCCTTTTGACTGCATGACCCTGAAGACTCCTAGCAGTGAGTTCCACTACTACATTACACAGTGTAATGAAATACAAGTTTGAAACTTGCTCCCTAATCACTTCATTGAAATCTTAACTCTTACAAGCTATCAAATATTCCCAAACCAAAGTCATGGACAATGTCAAACTGGTCCTCTGTCACATTTTAGTTTTCTATCTTTTTTAAAAAACAGCATTGAATATGGTACTTGAAAAAAAGACAAACCCCAATTTTAAGTAGTGGTCTAATATTTTTGTTTGTTTTGCTTTCTTTTTTTTTTGACTCCTAACCTAGCATTTGCAGAGAAGCATGCTGGCAGCAAGACTTTCTTCCTTAGCAGAGTTTAGAACTCCTCAGGCTTTATTATTACATACACGATGTAGACTGATTTGCATTTATTATCACTAAGCCTGGCACTTTAGCACTCTGCTATTCAGTATCGAGATCTTCCCAAAATTCAGTAAAGGAAGCTTCAGATTTAATATATAGTACTTTTAGCAAAAAGTCAGTCTTATAAACATTCCTTTGATTACTGAGTTCAAGACCTTCCTATGTCTAAAACCTAATATTCCTCCTTATTCCGATGGCTTGAGTAGCTTGCAGAGAAAAAACTTTTATTACCTTATTCTTGTTTCTGAATTCTTGTGTTTATGGAGCAACACAAGCACAAGAATGACCTTCAGACTATACACTAGCTTCGATGGGGTGGGTGTGTGTGTTTCTTTGCCTTGCATCTTATGTATTTGAAAGTAAATTGGTATTAAATATAGATAATGGAATATTTGGAAGAAAATTAAGTCCTGATGGTTAAACAGTAAGAATTGTAAGAACAGTAAGAACAGTAAGACATCAAGTGTCTGTGGTTTTGGGAATGATCACTGGTACAGGAGAACATGACTAGAACCCTAGAGATGTAAGGATGGAGATCCTATTTAAAAGGTCGTGACAGCTTTATTTGCAAAATAAGTGCCAACACACTTTGCTTAGAGATCACGATGGTTCCAAGTATACATGAAAGCTAATTTTTAAGCATGTAGGAAACTTTGTGTCTTTTGGATTTTGCCAACAGGTTCAGATGGCTGTGAACATAGAACTGTGACCCAGGTTAGATACAAGTATATTCAAAACCCCATGGATAACTGTAATTACCATGTTAGGCACCCAAACTGCAGTCAGGAGAAACAGTGCTGATGTGACAGTAATTTGTCATCTACTGTACGAGGAGTTAAAAGACTAGTACAATGCTTAAAGCTGAAATTCAACCCTATGAAGAGGAACTAGTGCAAGATTCACATTCCACTAAAGTACCGCTAAAGCCTCCTGCTTCCAAAAAGGCAATAAACAGACCAATACTTAAAGAATCAGTGGTGCTAACAGTCATCCTAAGAGGAATCTTCTGGGGAAAAAAGTTGTGGGAAATTCCCTTAGGAAAGATTTCGCTCCCAGGGTTTGGGTCTAGATACTAACTGTAAGTATTCTCATAGATACTCCTCTGGATGTAATTGTAGGAACACACCATTTCCTTAAGAAGCTGCCTTGAAAGGTGAAGTTTTGAGACACAGGTATAAAAAGACAGGAAGGTGAGAGGACAGAATAAAAATACAACATGACTCTCAGTGTCTCCAACACCAAAACAAACTTATATTACAGATCACTTTGTAGCACTTTACAAAAGGTACACTACATATATTATATATACATATAGAATAGTATTATTTCAATCGCTAAGTTCTTCCTCATCACTGAAATAAGCACTTTTCTTAATCCGTGGACGTTTTGAATCATCTGAAATTGAAGATTCCCCTGCAGTCTGCGTCCATCGCTGTTGTTCTTCCTCAATTTTGGCTTGCTACAATGAAAGAAGGAAAAGTATTACCTAGGACTAAGAAAAACTAAGATGCATTACAAATAATAATGCTAATTATTCATTCGCATTGAATTATTAAATAAGTTAGAGAATTGCAAGGGTTTATCTCCATTTCCAGTAAACTGTGTGATCAATGCACTAGGAAACATTTCTGAAAGTACTTCTCACACACAAGCAGTCTTCTACACCAATGCAGGCCACATGGTCTATCCTGTATTTTCAAAAAGTGGAATTTTGCCCATGGCAAAAAAACCATAGAGCAGCTGAGATCTGAAGCAAAGAATGCCTCATGTTTTAAACTGACGTTATTGAATCAGCTTTGTTCCACTAACAAGTCTTCTAACAGTTGTCTTTTGCAATCATTCATTCACATAATGAATGCCTTTGGGGATTATTATTGAAGGTTATTCAGCTAAAGATTTAAACAGAAGCTTCCTATTTTTACCAGATAAAATTTTTGGACGGTGAGAGGTATGGGAATGTTTCTTGGTTTCATAGGTTTTATTTTCACTTGTGGAGTTTTTGGGGAAAGGGGGAATAATTGTGCATATTTGAATTATTTTTTTGGACCATATAATGTAAAAATTCTGCACTCATTACAGTCAGATTCAGAACAAAGTTGTGTTAATAACTCTTGAGGGTTTTTTTGGGGACAGGCACACAGGGGACACCTGTTGACCAGGGAGCAAAGAAATTTGAATACCAGGTCAGGCTTGCTCTGAGTAGTGAAGCAGAAGTGTGTAAACAAGTAATAAAGGCAGTAATACAGATGTCAGACAATCTATCTATATAACAAAATATGCATTCAGTATGTTTCGAGAGATGAATCTATTAGAGACTGCGATGGGCTGTACTAGGCAAAGGAAGTGCCCCAGAAATACATGTTGTTCAAGGATAGTCCAGTGAGGGCAGAGGACGTGTCCAGTCATTCATACATAACTGTGTTTTCCCATCTGCTCAGTTAACAAAGTGAAGAGGGATTTGTGAACAAAAATCTAGCAGGGCACTGCAGCAGAGATGACAGAAAACTAAGCAGCAAAGGAGCTTGAAGGAAATAAAAAGCTGCAACACATAATACAAAATAAATACACACAAACCAGCAATAATGAAAGTGCAAAAACCCCAAACAAAATCCCACTGAACATGACTGCAATGTGAAGACGCAACTACAGGTACCAACTTCTGCTGCCAAACAAGAGCCCCCGAGTGCTATAGAGTGGACAGACCTATGCATGTATCTCAGAGCTTCTGAAAAGCATCTGAAGAAGGAAGTAGACTTGCATTTAAAAAATAATAATAACTATGCAATGCTTCAATTTTGTACCTGAAAAGCTATGGCTTGGCTGAGGCTATCCAGAGCAGGGTCTTCTCCTTCTTCTTCGCTTTCTCCTTCCTCCTCACTTCATTGTGCAGAGAGAAAAAGAATTAAAGTTCTTTAATGTAAGTGTTTAGTACGAAAAAACTTCCTAAAAGAAGTAGTAACATGTAACTAAATATACGTACATTTCTTCTGGCTCAACTATTTTCTTTTTCTTCTTCTTTTCTTTTTTCTTTGGTGGCTCCCGCTCTCCTAGCATATTCTTAGGACAAGCATAACTTAAGTGTCCTGCTTCCTTGGAGAAAAAGAAATATTGCTTAACACAAACCATTACAAACAACTAAATGTTAAAACATATCATGAGGGAAGTTAATGTAAGATAGTTCATGGAGAAAAAAAATGGAAACAATTAGTAAGATAAATGGAATGCTGAATTAGCACACAGAAGACAAACTCCCCTCTATAAGCTTGCCATGGAAATTAAGAGATTGGTGGTGATATGCATGTTTAACTGCATACTAAGAACAAGCCATGAACACAAAAGATTTCTTTAGTTGCTGCAATAGCTGAATATACTACACACGGTTTATAGTCAAGATAGAAATCTCAGAATTAACAAGTTAAGACACAGAAGTGAGACAACATTTTTGCTGTTATGAATATAAATCAAGTTTGTATTGGACATTAAATACCATCTGAATCTCAATGTCCTACATTATTACATTCGGGAAAAGTCAGAAATTGCCTAAAACTTAAAACTCACTTCTAGATAAAACAGTTGTTTCTACTGCTTATTTTACTGCCAACTATGTTGTGAACTTCTAAAGATATAGCAAAAGCAGGCATTTTGAAGCAAAGATTAGGAGATTTTCATTGGCAAGCAGCATTATATTGACACTCAGATTTGTCTGCTCATCAGCATGTTAAGCAGCCGTAACATGCACATAGTTTTCCCCCACCCCCAGAATATCGAATAAAAGACAGAAGGGGTACTATCATTCCTGAAAATGATACAACGTGCTATGCAAGTTGATAATATCAACTGAAAAAAATTTAACAGCATACGCAGGATTAGCAATGGCCAAACTGAAGACACCAGCTAAGATTCTGTGCTCGTTTTGGCTGGGATAGTTGATGTTCTTCACACTAGCTGGTATGGGGCTAGCTATAGTTTTGGATTTGTCCTGGAAACAGTGTTGATTACACGGGAATGTTTTAGCTATTGCTGAGCAGAGTTTACACAGAGTCAAGGCCCCTTCTGCCGCTCACCTCCCTCACCACTGAGTGGGCTAGGGGTGCACAGAACCAGGACGACTGACCTAAAATGACCCAAGGCATATTTCCAGACCAGATGATGTCATGCTCAGCCATAACACTAGTGGGAAGTTTGGCAGGGGGGCTGTTGCTCAGGGATTGATTAGGCATTGATTGGTTGGTGGTGACCAATTGTTTTCATTTGCATCACTTGCCTTTCTTGGGTTTTATTTCTCTTTGTTATTTTCATTTTCATTACCATTTATTACTATTACTACTATTTTATATTATTTCAACTATTAAGCTGTTCTTATCCCACAACTTTTCTCCATTTCTCTACATTTTTGGTTTTACTCACCCCACATTCGTAACACTTAGACTTATCAAAGTAGTTACGCCTGCGAATGAATTCTGCTGCTCTTCCATTATCAATGGCAATACTTGCTTTTATTACTCTTCCAAACAACTGCAGAAAGTTGGAAAGAAAAGGTAAACGTTTTGGGACTGCAAACCCAACCCTCCTGTCATAATGACTTTCCACAATTTACCTGTTTGTTATTAAGTGCCCGAGAACAGTTTTGTGCAGACTCTTTATCCAAAAACAAAATAAAGGCAACTCCTTTGCTCTTCCTGGTGTCTTTGTCTTTCATAATAGTAACTCTGGAAACATATAACTGCATTATTGATACACTAAAATGACTTCAGAGACATTTTTTCCTTAAAGATCTCAGTGGGATCTTAGCTTTGTTATATAGCAAAAAGGTTAAAGTATATCTAACAATAAAAATGCTCAATAAACAGAAATTCAAAGGAACAGCTAACCTGGCCATGTGCTTACAGGTAGAGTGGAGATGATTTTAAAAAAGAATGTGGGGTATTTCTGGGGACAGTGTCACTCTTAATTTCCTTGGATGACTTGAACAGAGAACATACTCTTTAGATCTGCAGGCAACCTAACTGGAGGGAAATACGCACACTGGAGGTGAAAGAAAAATTCAGGAATAATCTAATCACTGCTATTATTGCTGAAAAACACAGTGCATTGAACTGCATCCAAACTGAGAAATCTATGTTTGTGTAGAACTAATCAGCTAAACAGGTTCACAGTAGGAAATGCTAAGTATGTGCAGTATTGTTCTACAAATATCTCCAACTGAAATCCAAGGATTATGGATACATGTGTTGTTTCACATGACATACGAAGTTAAATCTTCAGTCTAACATTGATATCAATAGCATCAATAGTACATTGAGAAATTCAAGAAGGATCTAGACACAGTAAAAAAAAAAAAAAAGAAAAAATTACAAGACAGGGCAGGGCGGTGGGAACCCACAGAACTTCAACTCTTATTGATTTCAAATGCATCCTTACATCTAATTTTAGGTAAAATACTAAGCAGTCACAATAACAAGTCCCTCTAGAATCACAAGTAGAGAATTGTACATTGCAATTGTGGGAACTGTGATATTTGATTGACATAAGTAAAAGCTCTCACTTTTACACTTATCCATTGTGCCCCACACACGTTCAAGGGAAAGAGAACAATACTTACTAGAAGAATACTATTTCAACTATTTCAGAGAAAAGATTGATGGTATGTAACAGCATTCTACTTGCTCTTAGGAAATGGTTAGCAAAACCTGTCCCTAGCACAAATATTCTTGTATTATGTATGTAACTGCAAGAACTTCCTGTTGTTAAATTAAATTTATACTTTATTAAAATGAACAGAACTTCAATACAGTTCCACATTCATGCTTTCATGATAAAAAGCTCAAGACTTTCAAGTGAAGGAAAGACATTAAATATTTAAAATGAGAGGTACAAAAATAGAAGGCCATATCAGGTCACTTACTTGACAACTTTCCCATACTTTGAAAATATCTGAAATATAAAACAAAATAAAAAGATTTAGCAACAGACAATTGCATTTCATTAGTAATAAATTTATCACAACAAACTGATATATATCAGTATTAATTTTACACTCAAAATTGTTGTCAGCAAATTAAATCTAAACAATGCAGCTCTTAAAACTTACCCTGTACAGATCATTGTTTGTCAAAGCAAAGGGTAAATTGGACACATATACTGTGCTTTTGCTTGGTGCCAACCCACCACTCATTTTTCTGATAACAGGAGAAAGAGAAAAGAGTTAAACTGTATTCAACAGAGAAATCAATTAAAAAAACAGTTACAAGACTTTCAGTTGTATTTCAAACCTAGCCCAGACAGCCACGATGTAGTTGCAGAAAAGCATAACTCTTATTTCCCTTTATCTCCCTTACATCATTTTACATGGAAATTAGTGTTTGCCTTCATGGGCTACAGAAGACATACATTCCTTCCTCCTCTCCTGGATCCAAACATATTTTTCTTGTATGTGAGCCATATGTATGTGAAATTATTGACCTTCGTTCAAGTACCTGCATGATCTGATTCTTTATACAAGTATCAGTTCAGCTGCATTCAACACAAAATAAAACACAATCAGTTAAGTGAAAAAAAGCTTCCCTAAAGCAGAGCCCTAATCATTGTAGAGAGATAGAGAGATACATTTTAAAGTCAATGTAGTAAGATGCTAGAGCAGCATGCATTTCCTCTTGTAGCTACTGCTCAGGTTTCTACACTCCTCTAGAACTGCAAGTGTATTCCAGAGCTGACCATAAGACAGCATTCTCCCCTAGAAGCACTTCCCTTCCTCCTCCTAATTAAGCAGCTCTATCCTGGCAAGAAACAGGGCAATTTCAAAGCCATTTTAAATTCCAATCTTTTCTATGGTCTTGAAACTGAGTACGTCTGGAAACAATGACTCAATTAAAAAATACTGTTATAACCATATACATATCTTCTAATACTAGGTGAAGAGTAACTGAACTAACTAGAAAAAGAACAGCCAATGTTTTTCTTCCCATTTGGACATTTCCCAAAATTTTAAGTGATGTAAAGTCTGTGTAAAACATTCTCTTTGATCCATTCTGTAGCCACGGTTCAGACCAAGAGCTAAGTGAGTAAAATTTAGGATCAAAACACAGCCCTTTTGAAAGAGCACACCAAATAGTACAGCAAATTCACTACCTACACAGTCCAATTGCTACCTCCTTGTCCAGTTTCCTACAGCCTTATTACTGCTTCTTGGCACTTCTAGCCAATTTCTAACTGAGGATCAAGCCACTTCTTCAGCAAGACCAACTCATTTTTAAAATGCAGACAAAAGCTGATCAAGGGATAAAAAACCTGAAGTATTAAAAGCAACATCTGCCATAGCACATAGTTTCTTATGGGACTTTTTGGGTAGCTAGTCTGAACAGATTGCTTGGCCAAGTATCAACAAAGTAACTAATATCATATTCTAATCTGGCTGACGTTTTCAGGCATTTCATGATTCAGTCATCGGAAGACTTGATATTCCCAATAGGCACTGATTATCCAAGTGTTTTGCTTCTTTTTCCTGACATGCTTATTATATCACAATTCATTTGAGTGGCAGTTTCCAAGTGATTGAATTTTGAGGTTCTCCATGTTCAGAGACAGTTTTTTTGGCATGAGCAAAAACAGAAACATAAAGGTTAATCAAATGAAAACAGAATAAATTTTCAATAAAGGCCACACATTGCATCTGGTGTTACGCAGGCTGGATTCATTATCCCAAATTCCTTTCTGCTTGGCATTAGTATCCTTGACAAGCCTAACCAAACTGACTTGGCAACATTCCACGTGAATAAATGGCCTGAGGCGGAGTTATCCGGATGTACAGTGGATAGAAGGACTTGGTAAGATTGACCTTAATGCTGCACTATAGTACATTGCCAGTGCTAATATATTGCAACAGTGGAGGAGAAAACAGCGGAGGTGAACCTCAAGTGTCCGAAGACAGCAATTTCACTGCCTAAACGACAAGAGAAGCTGGAGCACCCTGTAACAGGAGATCAAGCAGCCCTCATTGTAATGGGCAGGCGCCGAGGAGAATGGCATCGCTGGAGAGCAGTCAGCTTGCATTGCACAGCACCACAGTGCAAACCTCCAAAGAGGAGGTGACACGTCATGCAGAGATTACTACAGGCCTAATAGCTCAGTTGTTAGGAAATTATTAATGAAGGTAGCCTACAGAACCACCATTTTCAGCTGCACACTACTTTTTCCAGAAGCAAGCTGGAAGAGTTGCACCCAGGAGTGATGGCTGCCAGACAGCTGAGGTTGAACTTTGTTTCTAGTCCCCTGAACAAATTTAAGTGTAACAGTTTTGCTGCTCAAACTGCCCAAATATTTTTAGCAATTTGTATTGTTTAGGACTGTTGTGCAAGGATTTCTTATTTTTAATGTCTGACTCACTGGACAGGCACAACTTTAATACAAGACAGAGTACTGTAACTGTAGGGCTATCATCATTTACTATCTGATGATTTTTAGCGGGAGGAGAAAAAAAAGGTCACTTCCAGCTTTAAGCCAGATCTCTAGATGAGACATGTCATCTGGAGGCTCATCATTACAAGGCTGAGAAGCCTTCTATTTCAGGAAGTTTCTGACTTCATGAGACTGTCCAATAAAAATTTAACATTTTCATCACATTCTTTCTCCTTGATCACCAGTCACTCTGCTCAGCTGGCAAAAAAAAAGTAAATATCCCCTTTCCCCAAGAAAAAAACCCCAAACAAAGCAACCAAAAAACAACATCTGAGCTTTCTACTTGCTGCAGGAGACTCCTCTTAGAGTCATGTACAGCCTGACTTCTATATCCTGCTAGAGCTCTCCAACAAATCAAAACATTTCTGTTTTATCCTGGATGCTTTTATGAGGTTTCCCTGATCTTCAAGGTATTACCTGATTACTCAACTTTAAAGCATCAGCTGAAAGCGAGGACATTATCCTCATGGCACTGAGCAAAATTCTCATTAATGTAACAGCCTCTGTGTAATATTAATGTTGCCTTCATAATTTTTATATATTAACTTTGAGGATAGAGTTGTCTCTCATTACAATGACTTCTTGAATTCAATCTTTTTTGTCTTTTCTAACAACTTGAACTAAAAGAAGCCATTCTTTGACAAGAGCCATCTGTCAGCAATGATTAAGTCTCCTGAAAAATAGATCAGGTACATGAATATGTTTTGCTTGAATCCAATATGCTTAATGCAGCATCTGTCACTAGCGCTGAGGATATCACAAGAAAAGACAATGATTAATTTCAGTAATTGGCTTTTCTACTCTGTCCCAGAACACATAGGGACACCAGCAAAACTGTTCAGATGCCTCTGAAGCACCAAGTGGAGTCTAAATTTACTCACACTTCCATGACTTAACATCAGTGTTTCCACTTAAGCACAAATTTGTGTGTTTAAGTGCAGAGCAGCAAGGTCAGATTTATAATTTAATCAATTAAAGTAGCATAAATGATTTGTGAACAAGTTTCTCAAGGCTTGCTTGCTCAGGCCAACTAATTTGAGCTCTTCTATCTTGATCCTTAAAACACAGTATTTTATTCCTGATTTAATAGCATCAACAGAGTTTAGACCCAAATCAACAAACCATTAGTTTCAGAGGAGCTTAGCTCAGGCTTATAATCAAATGCCTATGGTAAAGGAGGAAACCTAACTCATGTTCTCCTTGGTTCCTGTCAAGGGTATTAACTACTTGCTACAATTCTGTCCTACAGGGGGGTCATGGAATAAACTGTCAGAATATAATCTGTTTTATCTCATAGTCACTTAAACAGTACAAAGCAAATATTAAACAGGATCAGAGTTTGGTAAACAAGGTTAATGCTATCAGCAAAGAAAGAATACAGTCTGCCCAAGCCAAAGAGGAATGTAAAAAGGATTTGTTTGAATTGAACCACTTTTACGCACTAATCTAACTACAAAAACTTAGGGACATTAAGTAAGAGAGCACCAGACCACAAGCAGGGACTACCTTAAGCGCTTTCTTAACAGTCTTTTTAAAGCGATTTCCAGCATAGCCAAGATGGGAGAAGAGCTGCTTGGTTCAATCGCGTCTGGTCTCGCCCAGATCCTCACCCAAGAGGGGCAGATCTGGGTAGCTTAGCTGGTGATGGCCCTTCCTCCTCAAACCCCAGCCAAGAGACTTGAGTCCATTTCAGAGCTCGGTACGTGCAAACCCCCATTAAGGCAACAGAGCCACAGACTGCTCAGGAACCTCCACACGCTTACTAAAGCTTTTGGCCGTAGCATCACGCTGCGGTTCCCTTACCACAGCACAGTCCTGACCAGCTGCTTATTTCGTCCCTTCCTACGCCGCAAAAGCCCGAAGCGAGGGAGCTGTAAACAAGCACTCCTACACGCGCGGTGCCCCCGCCCCGGAGGGCTCAGCCCGCGCGGGAGCCCATCCTGCGACGCGGCACCGGAGGACGCGCAGGTCCCGACGGGATCAGTCCGGACTCTCGGCTCGACCCCTTCTCGCTGCTTCCAGCTCCCACCGCCCCGATCCCGTCGCGCTTCCGCCAACGCGAAGCGCCCGGCGCTGCTGCTGCCAATGGACGGCGGCACCAGGAGGGCGGAGGTTCCGCTGACGCGCCGGCAGCGCCGGAAGCGGCGGCGGAGGTGTGGTGCTGTCCGGGTGGTACGTGGTCGTCCGGGAGGTGCGAAGCTGTCTCCGGGGTTCGGGGCCGTCCCGCAGGTGCGGGGTCGTCCCAGGGCCGCCGCGCCGCGGGAGCTGGACGCGGGTGAGCGGCGGGGCGCGGAGCTGGGCCGACTGTCCGGCCGGGCGCCGCGGGGCGAGCAGGGTACCGCGAGCTGCCTCAGCCGATGGCGCGGCCCCGCCGGTGCGCGTTCTGTCCTTGCGGGGCGCCTCAGGGCCGCCTGCCCCTTTTCAAGGGTAGACTGTAAATTCTTGTCTGGGGTATCTGGGACTTCAGGGGAACCAAGACTGTCAGAAATACACAAAGAGACGTGGAAACTCACGCAGTCAGTGCAAGCAGTGAGGACGGTTTGATGCAGTGATTTGCCCTGGTTGAAGTACGCAGGATTGGTTGGTACTGTCAGGAGTAATTGTTGAGAGCGTTGCAGTTTTGACCTGTTATGACAGCAGTATGGAGAGCTGACATATTTTGTTGTCCAAGTGTGCCGCAAGACTAAGCCGCGGAGGAGGCGGAGGTCCATGCACTTGTTTGCGTTGACGGTGCCGGCGCAGCAGCCCCATCGCAGCCTGATAGAATATTCTTTTCGTGGCATTGGCACTGGTGAAGGACAGGTTGGTAACTGCAGGTGGTCAGGCAAAGAGAAGCGCTAATACATCAGTCACTGTATTAATATAACCCCCAACGCATTGCCTCCATTTGTCTTGCTCCCAGGGATGTATTGGAATGATGTGGTAAGAAAACAGAATTGATGTAAATTCTCGTTGGAATGCTGCTGCTGTGAATAATTTTATTCAGCTTACGCATGTCTGCCTATTTTTCCTTTTGAGATGCAAGTTAATTTGACTTTTGTGGTCAGTGATTTTTTGAAAATAATTTTTTATTTTCTTTTTTTTTTGCTTATTTTAAGTCAAAGTCATTGTGAACAGGTTGGGAAAGATTGGAAGAAAGCTACTTCCCTCAGGTTATTTGGTATCTAGGTGAATATGCCTAGACTTGTTGCAATCATACTTTTTTTTGCTTTTGAAAATCTTACAGCCTAATATTTGTTATTAGGGAGAGATGGACTGTCTTTGAATCTCCATTTTTTCTTAATGCCCCCCTCACATTATTTTATTTCCTGATGTGTTGGATTTTTCCCTCTACTCTTACACTTCTGCTTTTTCATCCTATGAGTAGGACTGTGTCTATTCAGTGTTTTCTGCCTGTCCCAGATATGAGGGGAGGTTGAGAAAGTTTTTTGGGTTTTTTCCCTCCCAAACTCAGTTTTATCCATCTTGTCTCCTGTCTAGGTAAGAGATACTAGGATATTTTTGAAGCACTATCAAAAATGGAGTCTAATTGTTGGAAGAAAAAGCAGTGTTTTCTCTCTGTCTTTATGTCCTCACTGCAGGAATCATTACGAAGTTAATAGTGATATTTCTAATAAGTTACATCTGTCCCAGATCTTACTTGCACCAAAGCATCTGAGCTTTTTTTGAGAGCTTTCCAAAGCAGAGGAGAGACAGAACTGGCCCACATTTGTCAATCTGCTGTTTGTCAAAGTAACATTATGAACCTAGATATATCCCTGTAGCATGGGAGACACTGCAGCTGCCTGTCTCTGCATTTACAACACAGCATTGGTTTTATGCTTTGTTCACATATGGCAAGATATAGCCACCTGGATTAGAGAGCTGTGTGTTTTGGAAACAAAAATGTAGATTCTGCAGAAGGATGATAGCACACACTAGAAAATTGCAAATCCTGGAGAAGTAGGTATTTCTAGCCTTGATGAAGATTGATGTCTCAAGTAAGTGTAAACAGACAAGAATTGTGTACAAAATATTTCAGAATACTGGAGTGCTTTTACAAATGCATGAAGGATTTTTAGCACATTATTTAGAAAGCAAAAAGGAATAAAAAAATAATGATTTATAAAGAAAACCCAGTTGTGAAAAAAAATCTGAAGTGACCTATGTAGTCTGCTTGATGAAGAAACCCTTGTTGTATTACATCAGTTATACATATATACATACTAAGTGCTGTGATAATCGGAGCAAAACTGTTCTTGGTGGCTGGCCACAGTAGAGCAGCTTGTATTGCATTAATAGAATGGCTTCTGCATTCACAGAGTGTATTTATTTGAGAAAATAAAGACCTTGCTTTAGGTAGAACAGTCACCTCTGACCAAAATTAGGAAGAGATTGTTTAATATAGCAAGTGGTTATGTCTCATTGTTTTAAAGACATATCAACTACTTTTGCTGTACTTGCTAATAGAAAATAGTCATTCAGTATGAGTGGCAATGTTGATAGCTGTGAAACAGAAGCAGATTTTTTTTTATTTGTTTTACAACAACTTTGTACTTATTGAGAGAACAGATGAATTTGAATACAGCATAATAAACTTGAGATTTGATCTCTTGAATCTTTGTTAATGGAATATTCTCATATTGACCGTAAGAGTTTCGATTCTTCATGGTTGTTATTAAAGCTGTGTTAGGTCACATGATTTAAGTAATGGATTTTTTTCTTTTTCTATAGAAACAGATGAAATGTACTCAAGATGCTGGGAAATGCATTTTCCTCCCTTTAAACATCTTTTTTTCTTCTACTGTTTTCAAATACATCCTAACTTTATCTCATTGATCTCAGCTAAAATTTGTCTGTTTAGTCTTCTATGTAAAATTAGTTTTCTACTTGTTCACCTTACTAGCATTTTGAGCAATGTACTTGATGGTTGATTCTGTCTAATTAACTCCTTCATTTAATTCCTCTAAATGAGAATGAGGTTTTCTTTTCCACCTCCATAGTTGCTTGTTTTCTGGTGTATATTTTTTTTATGTCCATCTATTGACTTTTGTGATAGTGTATCTCTACCTTCTTTCCAGCTTGTGTTTTGCTTTGTCAAAATGCTGATGATAATTCTTGCTAGTTTCAGTGAGGTCCAACAGTGATAAAAAGGGAGTGTTTTTATCAGCCTAGCTGCCTGATAATATAATGGAGCTTGTACATGAGTGGTGGTGCCTGCTGCCAGTGATGTGTGTTGGGATGTTGGAGGTGGTTTGACTGACAGAGTAGCACATGTGTAAGTTTGCACTCATCTTCAGTGGCACTTATCTGAAATGTGTTGCTTTTTGAATGTTGTGTTCAGTTAACAGTTTCATAACTTATGCAGGCACCAGGGCAGGGACACTACTGTATTTATCAAATGGAAAAAAAAAAGCCCACTTGAAAACCTTATTTGAATCCAGCTTCTGGTATTTGTTGTTGGTCTAAAAAACTGAGGCTTACTGTCAAGTACCTAAATCTCTGCACATGTGAGAGGTGGGTGAGCTGTGGACAAGCAGGGGTGGGAGTAGGCACTGTTGGGTGGCTCAGGTGCTCCCCAGCTTTGGGCAGGTCTGGCAGAAGGAATGATCCACTCTGGGGCAAGGGCTGGGCATGAGGGGCCAGCAGTGAAGTGTATTGAGGAAGACCATGTGATGCTTCATGTCTTGCTTCATCTAATTCTCTCCCTCCTAGTACTTAAAAACACAGGGGTATTCAGGTACTAGGTGCAAAGAAAAGAGGACTGTGGGGACAGTGTGAGAGCAGATGAAGCACCCTCTCTGTAACGTGGGAAGGGGGGCATGAAGTTGGCCAAAGAACTGTTCATGTACATGTAACACCTGGTGGGAATTTTTAAGGCTTTAGCAAAAGTCCCTGGAGTAGAGAATAAAGAAAAGTTGAGACAGTTACTGTGAAAGTGCCAGGACAGTACTTCTGATGATACACCTGACCGTCCAATACAGCAATATGACAAGTGGTTTCAGAATTAGTAACTCTTCTGTCCCTTAGAGGGCAGGGACAGCGGATCCTCTAGCTTTTGCCCTTACTAAAACCAGGATCAGCTGGTTGGCTTAGTCAGCTTTTGATTTGTAATCTGTGGCTACATTGGGCTAGTCCTGTGTCTTGGTTATGGAATAAACTTAAGGTCAAGTCTCTTATAAAATGGAACAATATTTTAAGAAGATACTCTGGTTTATTTGAACCAATGGTAGGGTAAAAATCTCTGCACATAAATGCATCTTACAGCTGAGGAAAGAGCTGCTTTGTCAGGATTTACTGTGTATTTTTAAAGGAAAAGCCTTTGTTAAATTGTAACCTCTCATCACATGCAAAAAACATGAGTTTTATTTCTCTTTACTTAATGATATTGAAAGACAATTAAATAAATACACATTAAATGAATATGTTAAATATTTTTCTGAGTGCTTTTAAGAAAGCAGTTACAGTAGTTTCCAAAAGCTTTTGCTAATGAATGGAATTAAAACTGGGATTTGAGATAGTGAGTAAAAGATGACAAAAGGGAAAGAAAATTCTGGAATTTATTAGGAAGGTGTTTTATCTGTAATAATTTGTCACAGGAAGTTTTTTGATACTGTTTATTTAGCTGAGTAATTCAGATTCTTTCTTAATTGAGTGTAGTAAGTAACTGTGCTAATTCAGACAGGGGGTAAAACATTTAGATTTTAGCTGTCTGGTTTACTTAAAAGAAAAAAATGTACTTATGATGAATATATATGCATTTTTTTGCTAACTTCAGTTTCTTTTTTTGTAGGAAAGTGAATGGATCTTCAGGAGCAGAGTTGCTAAAACTGACAGAAAAGTGAGTATGTGAATGTTCGTACATATCTTAGTGCTACCCCTGTTTACAGTTATTAATCCCTTTGTCATGTTGATTCTTAACATCTGTATTAATCAATATTTCTATATAGCCTCATAAGTCTTATTTCCAATAAAATGTTTTTACTTTGTGCAAGTAGGTAATGTTATGTATTTCTTCTTCTGAATATGACCTGCTGTTACTTTTCCTTAATGACTATTTTTAATA